ACAGGCTAAACACAGTGCTGTGACATTGCTGATGTTCATACTATGTGTAGTTTCCTAGGATGCTGCCTGAACTGGGGACATATGTGACATACGCAAGAGGATCTCAGAAGGGTTTGCACATCAGGCACGTCAAATCCCCAGCCATCTATCTTAGCACACCGTGCTCGGTGTGTAGGCAGATCATCCTTCATTGTTCAAAATTTAATGCAAGATATCATGAGACAATCCAGTCTCACCTGGAAGAAAATGAAAAAAATGAAGGCATTTCACTCATCTCTACCTGAATGTTTGAAGTAAAAAAGCGTTTAAGACAACTATATGGTAAGTAAAGAGAAAAGCAGTGTTTCTGAAGGCTTTATTTCCACAGAGGGGAATTAAAAAAAGGTGGAGAGAGAAACTTTTATATGTGTTGTGTACAGAGTTGAAAAGAAAGAGTAAGAAGCCTGAAGCTGTTTGGAAGATTTTTCTCAGACACTCTGGGGGAAATTTCAAAAACTCATGCAGAAAAAAAAGGCTTAGATTTTTACTGAAAAAAAAAATTCAAAAAAATAAAGGCCAACCTCCCAAGCACCTGAAGTGTAACAGGACAGTAGAAATACTGTAGGACTCCTGAAATATTGAAGAAAGTTTTTACTTTGAGGACAAGTGAAGTAGGAGGCTTACTGAAAGCCTGGGAGGAAAAGAATATGACTGGGCTCAGACAAGAAATAAATACTCCAAAAGAAATGAAGCTGGGAAGAATGCACAAGAATGCAGATCTGAGCTGTAGTATATCAACTGGGGAATTATATCAGCCAAACTTACAAATTTACTGTTACCACAAGAAGCATCATACCCAGAAGTAGATTGTAAACTCTTCATCATCTATGTTTTTTTTTAAGCTGGAGGTGGGTACAAAGGCATCCTCTAACCTGTTACTATTAGCCAACTAGGTAGAGGCCATTTGTATTCACAACTTGAATTCTGCCAGAAAGGATAGTGACAATCTAGCCTAAAATATTCCTTGCTCACACTGAAAGGATTTGATGAATGTTTGTAAATGCTTCAAGCACTGTTTTATTGTAAGATTAAATGCCTTTTATTTGGATGCTTACTCTTTTTGAGAGTCATATCTGCTCACACTTAACAAAATTATTCCTGTCAAGTCCAAGAGTTCCATTTTCTGTTGGACTTCTTTGATCTCATCAGCACCTCCTAAGCAAGCTGCATTTCTTTGTGTTTTCATGCACTCCAAAAACTCATTTTCAAAATTACTTCCTTATACATAACTATTCATTAGGATTTCTGAATCACTTACAGTAATCGACATTTTAGGAATAAAAGTGTTCACCTATTAGGGAGGCATTTATTAGCACCCTATGCAGTAGTAAATTATGAAATTCACCACAATGTAACATCATAAAGGATCCAGAACACTCTCTGTAAGTGGTGCTGTCTCAGGAATTTAAAAAAAATGGTTTCTCTGAAACCCACAAAAACACTTCTAATCAGTGGTTCTTGGCTTTGGCCTGAAGTTAAATGCAAATGGAAATACCCTTTAACAAGAAAGAAAAGCACAACAAGAAAGAAACTCACTCTTATAGATAAAGAATAACAAGGAAGAAAAAATAATGATAATTTCATTTCACAAGGTTCTCACCTGTTCCTGAAACATATAGTTTATAAAGTATATAAAGTACACAGACAGGTGAAAAAAATTAGATAAATCAATTCTTCTTTTAAACCAAGAAACTCAGAGACAATTGTTGTTTCTGTGCTTAGAGACCATTTCTCATTTCTCATCTCTCTTTATAAAGACAACTGGCTCTAGGTACTTATTGGAATAGCCTTTACCTCCCTTCTGCTCTAACAAGACATCAGAGGTAAGGCCATGACCCTTGGACTCTTGTCCATGCCATGTTTAAAACTTTGATATCTCCTAAAGATCCAGCTTAGAGCAGACAGTGCATACCCGCCACCAACTGCTCCATCCTTTTTGTGACTATTGGACTGTAATCAGTGCTTTGGAAACTGTGTCAAGAAGTCTCTGGGGTTGAAATTTTGACTAATAAAGAACTGGTTTTGTTCTTGAACCACTATTTTCATCAATATTGATTTCATCATGACAGCAAATACTGACTATTGAAGAGACTTCAGGACTGAATCATACTCCGGAGTTTGGGATTGCATCGATGAATGCTTTGCACGCAGTACTGAAGTGATGAGCATCTTTGGATTGTAACAAATTACAATACTTTGCTAAAGCACATCCTGATCTAATAAGAAAGTCTAAAGCTACATGGCTTCTGATAACTTTGAAGCATTTCACTGACCTTACTGTATTTGCCCCTTTAGCCTGGCAACAAGCAGTTATACTACTTGACACACAACCTTTGGTGTAACTACATTTCTTCTTCACTTGAAGTTAGATTTCCCATAAGTTAAACACCAAAGACCTCCAAGGATGGAGGTCTTAGAACAGAACAGGTGAATATTTGTTATATTAATTTGTTGTCCTGATGACATCTGATCATGTAAAAAGTTCCATTTGATGCAAGAGGCATAAATGCTCCAAAATAACCTGGAAGTGTTTTAGTACCAAATGCAATCTGTTAGAGGAGGACTAAAGTAGAGCAGAAATATTGTGAGGCCACTGCCATCCAGAAGATATAGCTTTATATAGCCTTTATATTTAATAACTGCTGAAGCACATGGTACTAAAGTGAATGAAATGCACATGCAGTTTCCTGTATTTCATGTCCTATCATTTGATGAAATATTTTTTAGGAACTTTTGATGTCCTTTACTACTATTAGCAGGATTTTGTAATTATCAGTAGATCTTAAATCTGTCCCTGGACAGGGTAAACATTCTTTTTTTCTATGAACAAGTCCACATCTAATTAGTTTATTGCACATGTTCACTTTATTTTTCTCTATAATTAATCCTGTACTTAATTTTTTCATATCAGCATATGTCAGTGTTAAGCTGCTATCTATAATGAGTCTGAATTATGTCTTGATTTGGTTTCTTCCATTTATATGTGCACTTCATATTAAAAAAATATTATGGTAATTTCAAATTTTGTTCTGATTTCTGGCACAACTCCAAAATAATTTCTAAAACACTAAATGAATAACATACTTTGAACTTATGTAAATTATATTAAGGAAAAACAATTACATATGCTAAGTGTCAATTTGCGCACATTAAAAATCCATTACATCATTTGTCACTACTGGAGATGCCTCTTCCAAAGAAAAATATGGCCCTTACTTGAAGCTAGTTGGAGACTTCAGTGTATGAAGAACTAGCAATTTCTGAGAGGCAGTTCTTTGCCGCCTGTACAAAAGTGATGCTGAAGGTCATGTTTGAATTTTTCTTACGAACTTGCATTCAGTAGGTAAATCCCCTACAAAGCTAATAGAACAAGACAGCATCTTGAATGACAAATTCTGTGTGTTTAATCTTTTACAAAATACTTCCACAATGATTCAGAAGTTGGTCTGATAGTATGTTTCCAAAATTTCTGTATATTAAGCTTTTTTTTTTTTTTTTTTTTTTTTTCTTTAGGCATTATGGCAAGCATGATATGAACAGGATGAACAGGAATTCTATGGTGTGTTCAGGTAGGAAAGAAAGGCAAGAGGTTCCAATATACGGAGCCAGGACTCAGAATGTGTAGTTCCTATGTTTTGCACTATATTTGCAACAGCATGCGAAAACACTTGCTGGGTGTTTTCCTGGCTCAGCTAAAGTCAATGAAAGTTTTACTCTCAAATATGCCAGAATCAGAATCCTCATTCTTTGCATTATTTTTCCAGATCTTACACTCAGCACAAAGCAGGAATTTAAAATAACATCAGCAAACTTCATGCCAGCGTCTGATTACTTCATGAACTCTAGACAGTTGTGACCCACGTTTCTGCTCTGGCTTCTACAGCTCCAGTTTCAACCACAGTGACTTCCAGTGTGCGGAGATCCTTCAAGTTGCCTTTGTTTACTCTGTATGTGACAAACCCCAAGGTTCTCAAAGCTTCAGCTAAATTCTGAAATCAATAGTCTTTACAGTTCCTTAATTTTCACAGAAGTGTAATTGTTAATATTAGACATAAATGTAGTGGGAGCTGCTATCTAAGAACTAACACATTCACTTGAATTTATTTTCTTGCTCACACCAAATACAAGACCACCACCAGTTATTCCTAATGTCACATTTACAAAAGCTCTCCTGCACACTTCCAGTGAAGCCTGTGGTTAAGTCAGACTGTTGTATGCCAGTGATCTGTTCCTTTTGTCAGTAGAAAGAACTATTTCACTGCAGAAAGTAGATAATTTGAATTTATAAAAGGTAAAACCTCTGAGGTCTGAACAGGCTTAGATCTGTTCTTCCCAGATGTCTTCTTTACTGGCTTAGAAAGAGAGTTTTTATGATTCTGAATTGTAAATCACAATCTTGTTTAATGTAGACCTATTATTTTGGGAGAGTACAGTAACACTCTGGCTGACATGCTAATATATGGTTTTACATGTTGGCTCCATTGTCCACTATTTAAGACAGGATAACTCAGACCATTTGTTTTTTTTTCTGTACCTCAGCAGATTGTAAATAAACCCAGAATAAATATGAATACTAAAAGGAAACTTCTTGTACCATTTAGATTTGAAATGCAGAAACAAACACATGGAATTTAAATTTTAGCAAACTTCCTCTAGAATCCTTTTTATTAGCATTGAAGGTATTCTGAAAAGTAAGAAATCTGACAGTGAATACCTGACATTAATATAATCAAACCTTATTTAATTTGGTCATTCCATAATACATTAAAAAACTGAAATGTACAAAAAAAATACCCCCCCCAAAAAAAAAACACAAAAAACAAAACAAAAAAAAAACCTGCATGCTTAATCTTATTGTAATTTAGATCTTGAATTCTTGTCCTTATGTGATGTAAAGCTTGGATAGAGAAGTGGATAGATACATTCAAAAGCAAAAGGGAATTTCTTTGCCTTGCCTGAGTAATCTGTAGTGGCTGATGTAATCCAGTAGACAGGCAATTACCAATTCTTGTCATGAGCAGAGCAGAAGAATTTGGAAGCCTATTAAGACAGTTCATTCCTCAACATGCTGGTGCACTGAGAAGACAACATGTTAGATGTAGACTTACCATGGAAGATGAAGGAAAATACAGCAGCAGCCTCTTGGTGAGCTCTGCCCAGCATGGAGCATTCCTCCCCTTGTGTGCTGTGATTTCAGTGTCTCAGTCCTCCTGGTCCTGCCTCCCCCTACTCCCAGTTTTCACCTTTCATACTTGGTACATAACCTTTGACAATTTCTAGTCTACCTTTCCTTGGCCAGGATCTTCCCTGCTGCAACAGAGACAAGCAGTATTTTTCTCCACTAAGACCAAATTTTACTTTGACATCCAAAGAAAACAAGGATAGATAGTCTTTAATAAATATGGAAAAAATATGCCTTTGTATTTCATGGCTGTCAGGCCACTCACACACAACAGGAAAGATGTACTGGTCAAAGATACATATGTCTAAGGTTTATCTGAAAATGGTAACTCCAGGCAGCTTGCTATCAGGTATTTAGAAGAGACGTCAATACTTTCATAACTGAATAATTATTAAAATTTATTTTAGAATAGATGGGAGGTTTAGTCTTACCTTATATGAGGGTCTTCAGGTTTATACATTACAGGGACAAGGAGGGTGAGATGCATATATTATTTCTTTATTAGTTTTTAAATTCCCTGCTAGATTTGCCAAATGGTTTCACTGACACTTACACTGACACTAATTTCCCTAAATATTCTTCCAGTGCAAAGCTACATGATAAGCAACTTATTTGCAATAACTTACTGATCTCTATTACAGCTGTCAGGTGCTGCTGAAATTACAGCGACACCAAAGACATTGCCAGAAGTATCTGAATCTGATATTTTAACTCCTAATAAATAAAATGTATCTCCAGTACTTTGAGCCTAGTAGGGAACAAAATTTTGATCACTTAAAAAGAATTTTGACTAATAGTCTCATTACACTAAAAATGATGGAGTGAGCAGTTCAAGTTTTCGGCTGAACTTTTCCAAGTCGCTTGGCCTACAACCAAAAATAACAGGAGTGCTTTGATTTCCTGTCCCTTTACCTGTCTGCCATAAAAGACGCAGTTTTAGAAGCCTTCAAAGTCTACTTTCTTCTAAACATGCAAGCAGGATGTCCTGCTTTAGGACATAGGATAACATCACCACACCAGTGAGCAGCTGACGCTACTAGTGGGTTTTGTGTTTGCCTGTTGAAATACGGCATAGTTAATTGACACAACTTTTTGTAATACAGCCAGGCTATACATTAGTTGGAGCTTGAATCAGATGAGCAAGATGGAAAATTAGTACCTTGGGGCTCAGATTTAGGTACAATAAATTTCATTAACATTTCTGATAGGTATCCTAAAAGAACAAGGTGTATTAATAAACAAACTAGAAACTTGGATGGAATATCATATGATTCAAGGTATGAACATTTACTGTTCTGATTCCCATTTCCATTCTGTACCTATTATTCTCTCAAAAAACCCCACCCACCCACCCAACCACCCCACCAACCACCCCACCATTGAAAACAAACCCCATACAAAACAAAATAAAACAAAACTCCCCATAAAACCCACCCCTATACTAAAGATCAGAAACACAGGAAATCAGTAAGGAAGAGACAGGAATGCTTTGGTTGGATAAGATCAAATTTAAGTGCCTCTAAGACTTTCTGTTGCAGGTGCACCTGCCAGACAATACCCTTCATTAGAAATCATGACAGATGGTAAGGATTAACTGGATCAGTCACAAGCAAGAAAGGGGAAAATATCAAATCATTACAGAAGTATTTTAAGGACTCAACATAGTTACCTGTATCAAACACTGTCAAGGCCACAGAAGGAACTTGACATAAGACAAGCAACCACAGCAGGGACTTGAAATAAGCGCAGAAGGGAGGAATTTGCAACAGAAAGGTGTTAATTCCAGGCCTGGCAGAGGTGAGATCTGGTTAGCCCATTGTGTCAGTGCATTCGGACAAAAATCACCACTATGGCAAACTGCGTGAAAGGAAGCAACTGCTCATCCACATATCACTGTGCAAACAAAGAACACCTCAAGTTATGGGAGTACACCTACATGGATATCAGGAACTTGGACTGTATAAAGATGTTATCCCCCAGAAGAAAATCTCTGGGACCTCCACCCCCGAGAAGCCTAGGGTGAAGAAGGACCAACATGCTGCTGGATCCATGGGTGTGGTGATTATCTTCTGCTTGATAGATCTTTCTCTCCATTCTTCTATTTCTTTCTATCTCTCTACCTCACATTTATTGTTAAATAAATCCATATTATTGACTTTGGCATATGGTCTTGTTTGCACCTTAATTCAGGCAGAGGGCTCTCTCTCCAGTTGGATCTTAACTGATAGCTGAGAAATGAATGTTTATCTATTGCAATACTTGTCAATCAGCAATCACACTGCATTAAAGTGCGACATGGGTCTAATTTATTCACTGTTTGAGCTCTGACTGATCTGTGTGTTGCATAAAATTAATCTTTGTAAAAGGCCCAAATCTTGTTACACCGAGCTATTTCAAGAGTTACTGCAATGCTCCCAAAACAGAATTTTTCTATAATTGAAACATTACTATACTTTCTGAGGGTTTGTGCCATAATTACAAAGGTTGAGACATGTTATTCTTGGATTTTTCTCTGTTATGCTGGACTTCAATTTTTGACATTACTAAATTATGTTAATTTTTTTGGATATGAATGAATCATCTGTAACTTAATTATTAGTATTAGTCTTAGGTTATATAACAAAAATACCTGGAGTTTTTGTTGACAGACTGTTAAAGAACATGATAATGTAAAAAAAACCCAAAAACCTGAATAAGTAAAATACTCTCTGTCCTCCATACTGGCCATACCCTGCTACTATAGCCACAGACTCTTGCTAAAAGTGATGAGTTGTTTCTGGGAAACAGTGACCAAACATGTCACATGCTGTTCTGTAAATATACTGCTAACCCATAGACCATATATTAATATGAAAAGATTATTACATTGAAGATTCTTTTCTGTCTATAACATTGTACTAATGTACTGCTAAAGAATGATAAAAAATTTCCCTGTATGTGTTCCATTCCCATTTAAGTCATGTCTCAAAGGAAAATGCATTTTTAACTTCAAGTCTGGATATTTTATTACATTTTTTAATTCAAATCACACATTTTTGTCAGAAATAACTGTTTCTAATTAAGCTTTGAAAGTGGTTTCTGCAGAAGCTACATTTATCTGATGTAATGTTATGGATATTTATTATATGGTTCTTGGGTTCCTCTGGGCTATCAATTTATATAAACGATTTGCATTTTTTTCCCAAGTGATCATTGCTAACTGCTGTTCCTGTATGACATAATATTTTTGCAACAATACAATTTCAAAGTTTAATGCATTTTTTAAAAAACAGTTAGAGGAAAATATGCAGCTAAATGCAAAATGAAAAAAGCAAAGTATAGTCTATTTTTTCATCTTCACTTTTAAACCTTTTTTTTAGAAAATACCCACAAAATAAGGTAGCCATTAAAAAATCTGGAACAATATATTTTTCTTTCAAATGCAGGGATTCTTACAAAAGCAAAAATTGCAAAAATAATAGTCACTTACTTGACTTGGTTACTAGATCCTCAGAAACCTTTCCAACCCCAGCCTAATAAACTTGAAGGTTCTCTTCTTGTAGCCAATAACTGAGAAGAAACAGAGCTGCTCATCTTTCTTTTTATTATACTAGCATATTCAAAATTAATTATTTGCTGTTTAAGGTTTGTCATTTTTAAACGTGGATGATTGCATATGTAGTATAGAAATTTTTTTAAGAAGAAAAATTTGGACAAAATTTTGAAACTTCCCCTCTGCAAAGAACTCTGATATTTTGGCATGACTTTACTGATTTAAAAATGAATTTTTAGAAGCAGAGCTAAAAATGTTTGAATTACTTTAAATCACTGACAGTGTTCTTATAGTATTGTCTTTACATGAGGAAGCTTCTGTTTCCAAGAATAGGTTCATTCAGAGTGTTTACTAGAACGCCATGGCCAAAATGCTCTATACCCTTTTTTTTCTCTATGTCACACTCCAGATGAGCTAATGCTACAATCATCTTTAGAGTTCTTACCCATTTGCTGGTGAGTTTTCTCTCTTAAACAGTCAGAAAGATGGTCATTTCTTTCCATCACTCCAAGAAAAATCAAGTCAAGATGATGGTTAAAACTTTAACATAAATATGACAAACATACATTTACAGTGATGACTGCTTTCCTGAAATGAGCCTACATTTTTTAGAAATATGACAAACTAAAATTCTATTTGACACATATGATAATAATGTAAGATATAAAGATAACTTATCTTTCCTGCAGTATACAATATATATCAAAGTGCAGTGTATTTCAGTAAATTGCAAGCATATTTGCACACATTCTTCTTTTCCAGCATGCGATGATATGCTACATTTTTTCAACTTGGTTCAATTTTCTTTAGGTTACTACCAATAAATTTATTAAATAAACATATATGCTATAAATAAAATTGTGCTACTATATTCAGTGTTGGTTTGTGATGGAAAACAATTTGGTTTACTTCCATTTCCCCACCCCCAGATCACTATGCAACAAAGTATTTAGGCTGTCAGTACAAATCATTGAAGTACATTTTAGACAGTTTTCAGTGTAATCTCAGAGCTAAATTATACTTTTTGTTAGTCTTTTTGCACATTTTAGATTATTGAATTAATTGTATTAGTTAAATAGGAGCAACATTATTTAAACAGGACCTCTCTTCCTGAATTTGTAAAAAAAGCTCAGCTTGCTTCAACATTAAACTAAACAGTAATAGCATGTTGTATTTACCATGTAAGGCCATCTTTAATGTTTATATGGCATCTATTATAATGAGATTCTAATCCTGACTGGTGCCTCTAAATGCAAGTCAACAGGAAAAATACCCTCTCAATAACTAGTATATTAATTTTCTTTTTACTAATCCATAGAGCCAGTAACTCAGCCAGAACAGCTGGTATTCTTACTTCATGTATCAGCAAAAACTGAATAACCAGACTGTTATAATGAGATCTTATGATATTAAAACATCATTTAAGTTATGGCAGTTACTGTTATGGGTATGCTGCAGAATAAAACATTTGAAAAACAAATTATGAACTAAACAGTGCTCTGTAAGGTTGCAGAGTAAAGAATTTTATGTGATACATCGATCAAGTAATAGCTATTTTACTCTGAGGCTAGGAATCATTCTGCCATACAGGGCTCCTTAGGCTACTTTGACGACTCTGCAGCTTTTGTCAACCCTTTTTACTTTTCTACACACTTGGGTCATAGACCACTTCCCTCCAGAAGACCAGGGCAAGTTTTCCTTGCTTTTACTTCTGGGATATGAATAGCCAGTATGACTTTAGAAGACTGGCTGCAGTAACTAGGGAACATTTTGACCTGGATATATCATCACACAGTCTTTAACATGATTAAAAGAGCTTTCCAGTTGTTTTCTATTTCATCCTAAAATACAAACATTACTTTGTGCACTACAGTAAAAGACCTTTTTTTTTTTTTTCCCCAGTAATTTCTGTATTTTATGCTCCTGTTGCTCCTTCTCTTATATAATAAAGAAAATATAAGTGTTACTTTTCCTGAGTTGCTGAACATGCTGATCAAATCATGGGAAGTTTTAACATCAAACATATTTCTTCCTATATTTTTATCTGATTTCTAATTGGGCTTTTTTCTGAAACACCTTTGTAAGGATGTTTGTATCCAGAATTCTTTTTTCTCTGTGATTAAAGGCCTGAGAGGTAACTGCCTTCAGACAGTAACAGATGGTTTCATGTCAGCCTGCATTTTCTTTTTTTCCCCCCTCATCTCAGATGGTCATCAAAGGCAGTGTAAGGCCCAAATGGAGCATTACTGTTAATGAAACTTAAATATTTCAAGTGGAGTAAACAAGATAGCATTGGATACTACATTAATACTATTTTTTCCCTAATCAATCTTTTCCACTCTTCCCCAAAGAAACACTATGACTCATATGACTGTCACTTCAGTTTTGGCTGGAAATATTTGTAAGATGCAGAATTTTGCCATTCACATATAAAATTAGACAAACATAAAATTAAAAGTGCTGTAAGGGGAAAAAAGAAGTATTTTGATGAGCAGTATTTTGACCTCGGCAACATTTAATGGCACAGTGCCCTCAGCAGCTACACTGAAACATCTTCACCCTTCATATAATCACTAATTACACTAAAGGTCATGAGTTAACTGCATATCAGGGTAACTGGGAGGCAGTTTGGTTGGGGGACAGGGAAGAACAAAAAGGCAGGCTGCTATTTTCTAGAGTTGTCACAGTACAATTTACCGAAATCTTTTCTCAAGCACAGAGAAAGAGAATGCATTTGTGACTAAGTTTAGGACTTCAGTGACATGGCAAAAGGGTTTTAAAATGTAATGAAGATTAAATTACTTTTCCCTTTGGGTTAATCCTGCATTTCAGTAGGTTTCTGGATATACCAGCTACTTCCTAATGATAGAGAAATGATGATGGGTACATAAAAAGAATAAAGACTAAATAGATAAAAAAGATCCAGGTATTAGATAAGAAAATTAATATCTTACTAGATCTTATACAGGATAAACAATGAACATTATTTTTTCTCTGTTAGGAACCCCAAGTCCTCTTTCCTATTAAACTTTTCCCCTATGATGTTGGAAACCATAAAATCTCTGTAGTAAGAGCTAAGCATCAACTTTCTGAAAAAAACCTTGGATCTACAGAAACCATGAGAGCTCCAGATCACCTGATGTCTCTTTTTAAGCATAATCTGTATTTCTGAATATAATCCTGCATTTTACCTTTTGTTGCCACCCAATAGCAGGGGTGGATATCAGGTCTAGGTAGAAGTGCTGCAGCGTATATCCTGGGACATAACAATACACCAAAGAAAATACAGAACAGTATTTGTTGCCACTAAACACATTTAATCATTCATTCACTAGAAAGGATGCTGGTGTTCTGACTGCCCCCACTTTCCAGGTAGGAAAGAATTCTGGCAAATACAACAATTCTGCAATCTGGGTTGATTAGGTAAGAGCATATAAGTAAATTTACAATCCAGAGCTGGTCAAGGTGTTAGAGTCTTAATTTATTATTTTGTCAAAAAATGAATATGGTACAATTTCCCCTTGGAAACAATGGGAGAAACAGAGTTGTAAGAAAAAGACTCTTTTCTCCTTTCACCTCGACTGGAAGCTCTGACTATATAGAAAGAGAGAACTCTTTCTCTCTTCCATTAATGTTTTAAGTATGCCTCAAAATATCTCTTTGTTCTTTAGTTACCACACTTTCTATAAAATTTCAGAAGATTTAGAGCATATGCACAAACCCCACTGCTTATTCCACTGACCAGCCTTACGCTTCCCCTGTGCATGTGCCTCTATTTTGTCTGTCCTATGGAGCATGTTTCTCTTCTGTATTTAAAGAGCAGCATTCCCAACCCAGCACTTCCCAATGTTCTATTCCAGAAGAGCAATATGGAAACTCTGATGGAGCCCACTACTTTCTCACAAGCACTGGGAATTAAAACGAGGATGAACTGGTATTATTAAAGCATGTATTACTTGTTGATAGCAAAATAGAACCAAATTACTTTGTTATTTAAATACCATGGGATGGACAAAAAGCAGATAAAATATACATAAGAAACAATTTGAAGAAATACTAGTAATAGCATCATTATGAACTAGAAATATTCATACAAAAATACTTTCTATATTGGGAAATTTAACTAATACCCATAAACATAAATTCTGCTAAATTCTCCTTATTTATGCATCTAGCCTCACTTTAAAAAGCCTTAGACTACACAAAAAAAAATAAAAGGTAATACATATAAGAAAAGTTTGTCAGAATTGGATAGCCCTTTCAATGTGTAGCAGCAACAACTTAATGATTCTTTGTGGTTGGCGTCTCTGGCCCTTATCTGAAATCCAGTACGTATTTTCTATGGCCAGAACAGAATCATCCAGTGGAGAAGTCACAGATAAGTCCCATAAGGTTCTCCTGGTTTTTGAAGGACAGATTTTAGCATAGAAATTCTGTTCAGATAACTGGATGGCATCTATTCCCTGGTCTCACCCAAGGCAAAAGCTGACTACTAATGCTCTGTGAGCCTTGCTTCGCGATCATTAATTTGACACAGCACTCCTCTGAGTTCTATTTCAATTCAAAACTTTTACTAGGGAAGTTTGTGTTCAGTGAAGTGAGGATCATAGTTAACTCAAGATTATTTATATCATATCCAGTGAGAAGCATTAACAGCATTAGTTTGGTTCAGTCATGATTTTTCTTTTTTTCAGGAGAGGATGCTGTTTCATTTAATAAAAATTAGACTGACACATTTATACAAGCAGCATTGAATGTCACAGCATCCCTGATTAAACATTTAGGGTGGAACATCAAATTCTTGGCATAGTCTAGAATCACTCCAATTTTCCAGAAGGGATTGGCATATATAATATATATAACATCATAATTTATCACAAATCTGCTGTGCTGCATTTTTAATGAAAAAGAAGCTTCTACCCTGGTTATTCTATGCTGTCTATATTTACATAGCATTTAAAAAAACCTAAATTTGAAGGTGAACCAGAAATTGACAAAAGTGTAAGTCCTAGTGTCC